CCAGGCACACGTGACTCTAAAGTACAAGCTTCTAAAATTTACACTGGACTCCCACCTCACTTTCTTATATTCTGCTTAGAGATGATCATATTGAAAATTTTGCATTAATGTTTCATGCATGTTTTACCTCAGAACTTAAAATTAATCTTTAAAGCCATATATATATATATTTTTTTTTTAAGTTTGTTCACTTTCTTGTTCTTCTTGTTTGAACTTGCTTTTGTGTCTAACTCATCTTGATATTTAATCTTCATCAGAGCATACTGTTGTTCCCATAATTTGGGGATTTTTTTCTTATCATTGGCCAAGAAACATGTTAGAGGAAAAGGAAGAGTGAGGAAGTAGGCACCATATGTGGACTCCATAAACAGGCTTCAAACTCCAGTATAGATTTTGTTCATTGGCATGTTCTTAGCGGCCACAATAATTCTTGATCAAAGTAGATACTCAGTGAATATTTGAATAGATGGATGAATTAATGGATGGATAAAATAAAGAAATAGGTTCTGAGTTGTGTTAGGCCAATTTCTTGCCACACTATACTCTGCTCTGTTCTTGGCCTATCCTGGCATGACTTCTCTTAGAGGTCATAGCCCTTGAGTGTGTGTGGTGCTCCCCTAACTTCATGTGTGTGAACCGTCAGCATCCATTGTGAATGGACTAGACTCAGGGGACAGTAGCCAAATTTGTTTCTCTCTCTGGTTATATTGCTTGGCTTTAAAATAGTCTCTAGAAATAAAACTACAAGAATTCTGAAAGAAAAATGTTGGGGGGCTGGGGCTGTAGCTCAGTGGCAGAGTGCTTGTTTAGCATGTGTGAGGTACTGGGTTCGGTCCTCAGCACCACATAAAAATAAACAAAGGCATGCTGTCCATCTACAACTACAAAAAACATATTTTTAAATGTTGGTCGTCTATCAAAAGAGAGATGATTCTACTATATATATATATATGTATATATATATATATATATATATATATATATATGCCAGTTTTTCCTAGTTCACATCAGTATTTCACAGAATGTATTTATGAGACCCTATTCAAGCAGAAGATTTACTACCTGTGATCAAATATTACAGTAGCCAAGTAGACACTTCCAAATTTAAAGATACTAGATCTTCTGGAATATTCAGAAAATAGGGATTTTCTTATGGTTTTTAAACAATAATATTAGCAGCAGCTAAAATAACACTAGTTAATTTTTTTT